CTGCTCGGCGGGGCGGCCCTGTGCGGGCGGGCTCACGCCCCGGCTGATGCATAGCGCGGCGGCTCGCGTACAGGCCATGGGCACAGGGCACGTGCACTGGGGTGGGAGTTCTTCCTAGACAGTGCCCAGGGCCAGGAGAGGCAGCAGGACGGGTGGTGACCGGCCCATGTCCCTGCACAGCCCCGACTACGAGGAGATCACCATCGACCCCGTGTGCAGCTGGAAGCCGGTGCCCGTGAAGCCCGACGTGCATGCCAAGGAGGAGCCAGATGGGCCGGTGCCAAAGCGCTGCCGCTCCGTGAGCCCCGTGCACGTGCTCATGCCCAGCGTGATGGAGATGGTGGCCGCCCTGGGCCCGGGGGCCACCCCCTTTGTGCCCCTGCAGTCCCCCTCAGCCCCGGTCCCGGGTGACTACCCCAGCCAGGGTGAGTACAGAGCCCAACCTGCAGACTCAGGGCCCTGGGCAAGCGATCGACTCTCCAGACCAGGCCCCTGCCTGTGAAGGGCTAGCTGTGCGGCCGCATGCCCGGGGGGCCAGCGGGGGACACAGCGGCGTAGGTGCCGCCTCGGCCCCACCAATGGGCGTGGGGCAGCCGCTCTCCCAGCAGTGTGGAATGAGGGCCGTCTGCCGGCACACGTCGATGGACTGGCCCCGTCTGACCCTGTGTGGGGGTGGCAGTCCCATCCCTGTGCCCTCACGGCCTATGAGTGATGTCACGAGGCCAGTCCCTGGCAGCGACAAGAAGAAAGGCCCTTTTCTGAATAGAGACTGTAAGGTCCGGTGTTGCCTGGGAGACAGCACCATGGCCCCACCCAAGCCGCGGCCCCCAGCACTGGGTTCTCCTCCCTCAGGGCCCAGCTTCCTGGGAGCCAGGACCTACCCCGACTCCTTCCCGCCCTCCACGCCCAGCACCCCGACCCTTCCTGAGTTCACACCGGGGCCACCCCCCATCTCCTACCAGTCCGACGTCCCCAGCAGCCTCCTGACACCAGAGAAGTCTGCCCCCTGCCTCCCAGGCCAGGTCAGTGCTGGGCCGAGGGGCCGAGGGGCCGTCCCCCAGGGAGCCCCGGGGCCCCTGTACCACGTCCTTCTCTCCTTCCTCAGATGGCACCAGCCGGTCACCTGGACCCAGCCCACAACCCTGGGCCACCGGGGCTGCACACCCCCAACCTTGGAGGCCCCCCAGGGCCCCAGCTGCACCACCCGACCCCTGCCACAGCATCCCGGCAGCCCCTGGGCCCAGTGAGCTCGGGCCCTGTCAGCGAGCTGGCCTTCAGCGCTGCCGCAGGCGTGATGGGGCCCCCGATGTCTGGGGCAGGGGAGGCCCCAGAACCAGCCCTGGACGTGCGTCACAGGCCCGCTCGGGGGGGCAC